AGCCCAATTTGTTCTGGGCCCGAGGTGGGCTTAATAACCGGCGACTACTGTAATAAGTAATCCGGGCTTGCATCATGACTTCGAAGACTGATAATTGATGGTATTACTCATTTCTTGCTAAAATCCGGGTTCAATACCTCCTACTTAACGTGGCCTGCTGGCATTCCCTTGCATGCGAAATCCAAGCGACCCTCAGGCAAATCTGGTACATGCTGTGGCGACCAGGTAGTATATAGTTCGTGTACACCGATGCTGAGGACTTGCCAGCCAAGGTACCCGAACCCACTTCCCGCTGTATTGACACCACAGACAGAAGAAGATTCTTGGAAAAGAAATGGGAAAATGAAATGGTTATTTCTGGCTTATTAGCCATAGCTCAGCCAGCCATATTTAACTCCAGGTGCTGTAAGACCTGAGGGTCAAACCCGCGACCTGTTGGTTAGAAGTCAAACGCGTCAGCCATTGAGCCACGGACTTATTGTCCCGTCAGTTACGATCGGGTGTATTTACAGTTGTAATGGAGCGTTAACCAATCACTTTACTGGGCACACTCCCACTGTGCGTTGGGACTCATTCTTGAGTCCCGCCAGCACTATAAAAGATAAATCATGACTTGACTATTAATGTGTATATGTTGTAAGCGCTACATTGGACCTCATGCTTAGCTACACAGAATTTCATGCACTGTCTGCATGGGCAAACTCCGAAAAACGACCTTTATCAACCTAGTCGGTATTTGCATCATGTAGCTGATAAAAATTTGAAGCACTTAGAAAAGTTAGCCAACTTCTTTTATCTGTCTAGCGATTAGTTAAGTCAAAATGCAGCGCTAGCTGCACTGCTAGTGGGGGTTTAATTCGTATGTGCATAGGGCCTAGTTCTTTTATTAGTGCTTACCAAAATGTTGGCTCTTTTCCGCGATTTGTTTCATTAGAAGAATTGGAAAGTGCCTCGTAGTCCGTCACCGGTTGGCTGCTATCCGCTATTGGCGCATGTACGCTCAAGTCTCCGTGTTTCACTCCATTCGTGACCTGCGTATTAGGAACTTCAGTCTGAGTTGCAGTTTTCTCCGAATGGAAAAACATTTCAGGGAAATTTCTGTTTGTGTTTATTGGAATTTTAATAGTTCTTCCAGGATCCTGTTCGTGTTCCTTCACTCCTCGACTGGTCTCCAAGCCACCGCCATCAATTTCATCCAGTTTATTAACTGAGTAATTATCCATAACCAGGTCTGGTTCCCACATGCAAGTGGTAAGCGTTGATAAGTTAGAAGATCGTAATGCACTTTTAGGTGAAATATCTCTATCGACAGTCAACTCCTCCAGCTTGTGTATTTCATTGGACTGCAGTTGGATGTTATAGCGCCGACCACTTGCATAATCTCTGCTGCCATACTCATCCGTACGCGATGGCTCGAATGGTTCCTGAACAACATTGTCAAGGACAACTTGGATTCCAACTTCCGCGTTGAACGGAGCGAGGTTAACGGTGTTGCAGGCTGTACTCCGAGTCATTTTACCATCTGCGTCATTGAAAGGTTGATAAAGATTGGAAAACCGCGGATCTGAGTCCACGAAGTTCCAACTAACGAACTCCGGTAAACGATACGTTTCGACAAACCATTTGGTAAACTTAAGGGCTTCGCCAGAGTCCAGCTCAGCAAAAAGATCCGCTAATAAAGAAGACGTAGGTGGAGGTGTTTGGGAAAAACAAGACGCAAAATTTCTCAACTCCAGAACAGAGGGAGTGCAAAGAGATTCAAATCCATCAGACGATATCAAGCCAAGGTTACACTGCAGAGCACGATCCCGAAAAGAAGAAGGCACGTGCTCAAACCTAGCTCTGGAAAGAAAACGCGAAAAGTCTTCATGCTCCAAATCAGCTGCATAAGAACTATTCCCCAATGAAGGAGAGTAGCCAAGATTGGCAGCAGAAACAGCACAGCGTGGGCTAGGAACAGGAAAAAAGGAAGAAACGCAAAGAGGAGATAGATCCTCTGAAGCAAAAGAATCAAGAGAGAGCAAGCTCGAACTCAAAGAAGGCAAGGCAATAAAGAAGCTGTCAACAGGCGCAGAAAAGGGGGTGATCAAACTATCACCGTCATCAAAATCAGGAATGTTCACAAAACTGAAACTTGTCAACGAGGCCGTACTCACTAGATCCACTCTCTTCG